CACCTAACCAATATGCATTTTAGTTAATTATTTTCCCTCCTATTTTATCCAGCTTTTTACCTAGCCGTTTCTAACTTCGGCCAGTCTTGTTTTACATTCTGGCTTAATTCTTACATGTGTATATTTTCTGTCATGGTGTCTTTGTTGAAACCACCCTGCCACCCAAAGATAAACACAGAGGCTGGACATATTGGCACTCTGTTTTGATTTATGAATGGCCAACTAAGTCTCCTTTGTGTTTTCATAGCTGTTTGTTATCCTGTCTTCTGCCAGCTTTGAACACTGCATTGGGTATGTTGTCAGTTTGACAGTGTTTATTGATTTGCTATTAAATACACAAATAAGGCAGTAAATCCACACTAAAATCAAAAGGGCACAGTAAAACTCATTTATAGAAATATATTTTCCCGTCAGTGTGGATATATGTACAAAAGTCTGAGTTACATTGTGCAGTGTGTACTATCTACTTTGTAAATAAAAAAACACAATGTTTGTGAGTTTTTGTATGTCATTATAATGCATAGTTTCGTCTGTTGTTTTATGTTACAATGTCCTTATCCTACCACTATTAACAATATGACTAAACTACCATATGCAAAACATATAGTATTGAACTGTGTGCCATGTGATAATCTGTATGAAAGTGACCATGATATATATAATTTAATACTTTTATTTTATTAGCCAACACCTTCCTACATCTTAAAGATAAACTTTGAAATGCAAAAGTGACTTTTCAGGGTTTTTTTCCACGTGGCACAACATTACCATTCATTCAGTGTTGGTGCTGTACTATTTATTTCAACATCCACCATCCAGCCATGCATAATAACATAGCAGTGACATCAGGTTTTGTTTCTGAAGGTATCCTGACATACCCTGTTAAATATTTATTCACATGTTCCAGTTGATTCATATGTCAGATAAATATCTTCAAGAGATCAAACCTTGAGGAGAAATTATAGCTGAGAAAAAAAGCCCCATTTTTTAAATAGAGATTTTACTTGTTTTAAAAGGAAGAAGTTTTTTTCTTTGGGGTCAATCCCCCGGACCAGTAGAATTGAGTTACTAGATCTAACCTGCATGCCAGGGCCTCTGAGGTTGCTTGTCAAAATGTTGATGTTCCTCTAGAGAAGAAGGCTAATGTTAGTTTAATCACATTATGAATGGCTTGTATGATGTGTGATCCTGCATTCTAATAAAGTATTTTAAAACTTGTCTGAAAACTGAAAATCAAAAGATAACTCATACCCCAAACCATCCAGTCACTTGTCTGATAGTAGACAAGGTCGCCTCTACCCTCCCCACCCGCACCATCACAAGATGCAGTGACTCGGCATTTACACTAATACACCATTGCATGACATGCATTCAGTCTTGATGTACCCCCCATGGGTCCTGACAGCATTGTGAATGGCTTGCATGCACCAAAATATAGATGTGTAAAACACTTGTTTTACCGAGGAAATGCGATCTCTGCTGTGTTTCCCCCTCTGTCAAATACAGAACTTTCAACTCTGGTTTGAAATAATAATCATATAAAATAACCCAACAATAATTGATTGAGAAGTTTTGTAAGTAGGCTACTCAGCAGAACCGGAAACAATTTTCAGAGAGAATAAAAAGTATATAATATTATAAAAAGGAGGATGAGAAGTATCCAAAGTCAGGGGGGTCACACACTTTCTCAAGAACAAGGTCAAGGAATTTGGACTTTGAGGGAACGAAAGCCTGATTTTTGGGGGCAGGATTTATAAGGCTGTCCGTGGTTGAGAAGAGAATGCTGGATTTGTTTTGATTATTAGAAATCAGCTTTGAGAGATAGACTTGTCTTGCACGTCTAATGGCCTTGTCGAAATAGGTGAGGTGTTCTTCAAGAATTTCATAGTGAACTTGTTACTTAGTTTTCCTCCATTTATTCTCAGCTAATACCAATCGCCATGGAGGTTTTGGATTTGGTTTAGGCTTGGGCTATAATGTCAATGGCTGTCTTTAGTTTATTCGAACTGTGAGCTGAGAGACAGGATCTACTGCAGAAATAAAATATAATGTTTTCAGTCAGTCATGACGAGATAAGCGTACCTCCAGCTGTGAAGACCCACAAAAACTGCTGAAGCACCAGCCACAACGGCTGTGAGAGTTGTCCTCTGCTGTCTCAGAATGAGAGGGGCCTCCAGGCAGGACCTTAGCTGTCTCAGGACTGGAGAAACGTGTTGACCTGTTGGGAGGGATTCTCTGCTGGTGCCAGGGAATAACGGCCTCCAGACCATCTCAGGACAGCCTCTTTAAGGATCCACTTTTTAGGAGCCTCTTAAGCCTTACATGATAGCAGCTGATCACTTACCCTCCAATGGAGGAATATCCTATGTATGGAAGCAAAGAAAGGCATTTGAAGCTTATCAGCAATTTGTTGAAATTAAAAAATACCACTGAATTTATAATATTTTAATATTGTTCTTTGAGATCAGCCTATATGAAATGATATAGTTTGAAATTCCCTTTTCTAGTTTCTAGTAAATGTTTCAAGTTGCGCAATTTCAAAAACTTGATTTTACTTGGGTTCTCAAATTCACACAATTCAGTTGTTCAAAATGATTCAAAATGTTCAAATTCAGTTGCGTCTGAAAATTCAAGTCAAGTTAAAAAATCATTAAAAATGATCTGTGTTACAAGATTTATGCAGAAACACATCCCTCTGGGGCAATGCAGACCCACATAATATCACTAGTAGTGAAAGACCTTCAGTGCTTCATGGTAATGTTTGATTTAGAGGAGTTTTCCCATAATATCACCACATTCCCTTCTGATTATTTTATCTATAAACAATTTATCAATCAAGTTTCTAAAAAATGTATCATACTGCACTGACTTCGTCTTTATCTTCCTGACTTTTTTCCCTTTAAAATAAATTTTTGTTTGTGCTGTATCATTTGTTAGTTTGTTTGGAGTTTTCTTTTATCTGAATCAAAGGTGTAATGATAGAGGGTGCAGTATGTATGTTGTGATTTTGGGCAATAGAACATTAATGTGACTTTAACAGGTCGTCAATTGGAACAACTTCCATTATACCGGGCTATAAAGAATGACTTTCATTTTAGGCTACTTGCATGATACTGTAATCTGTGACTGTGCTTTCAACATTTGCTATATTGTTTATTGCAACCTCGTGATGTTTCTACATGTCATAACGTTGACAGACATTTTTCTGGATTGTGAAGATATGATCTTTAGCTGGTCTTCTTATCTGACAGAGATCATAATAACAGGCTGTAACAAAACAATGGACAGAAGGTTGCAGCTCTGCCACACGTCATATTTAATGGACGACGCTTTAAAATGACGGCACCGAGGCAAGGACATCTCATTTCGTTAAAGTCCTGTTGCTGCTCCTGGCAAGTTCTCTGCTCTGTACTCATAGTGTTTGTCTGTATGTTGTATTGAAGCAATAAAGTTTTTGAAGTGGGAAAAAAAAGTCCTGTTGCCTCGACTCCTGGGCCCTCACGTCTCCTATTCGACTTGTATGCTCGCATCTCAGGTGGGAGGGACGAAGAGTCGGAGAAATGAGGCCTTTGGGATGAAGGATGAACCCTGACTTTGCATTGCGCAGTTTCCGGTCAGATTTCCGCACCAGCAGCCTATAAAATTACAGCGCGCTCCTACTCTCATTTTTACGGTAAGTGAACGGACAAGGCGTGAAAAAGGCTATAGCTTACAAACAGCACACAGGACAAGTGTCTATTAAAACAGTGTTTGTCATTTTTTCACGTTCTGTAAAAGCACATCAAACTTTTCCCTCTCATTTTAAGAAAATTACAACACAACCCCCTTTCAAGCAAAGGGATTTCTCATCCAAATATTTTATCTACACAATAAGACAAATGCAATTCTTTAGTAAAAGTACTAATAGGTTAACACACTGGGAAAATTATCTGTAAAAGTAAAAGTCCTACATTGAAAATGTTAAGTTTAAGTATGGAGGCTATAATCAGGAAATTGTACTTAGTCTTTTCAATGTCTTCATGCTTTTATCTTGTATTGTTTTTGTATTATTGTCTCTTGGGTATAATTGTCTTTACACTTGTTAAAGCACTTTGTAACTTGTTTTTGAAGAGTGCTCTACAAATAAAGATTATTATTATTATTAAAGTATTAAAAGTAGGTTATGTCTACTCCATTCAGAATATTTTCTAACATTATGGCCCTTAGGCTATTATTATTTTATTATTTTACTGTTGTAATTGGTTGAGGTGGACCTAAGATTTACCTATTTGGTGTCTGACTGCAACTAATGATTGTTTTCATTATGGATTTGTCTTCTGATTATTTTCTCCATTAATCGATAGTTTAGTTTGTAAAAATTCAGAAAATACTCAGAAATGCCGTCACAATTCCTGAGAGCCCAAAGTGACATCCTTACAATGCTTGTTTTGTCTAAACAATAGTACAAACCTCAAAATTATAAATAATTAAATAAAAAATGTTCAAATGATTAAAACACACAAAAAAACAAATATTCATATGTGAGACACTGGAGCCATGAGATGTTTTTACATGAAAAATGACAAACGATTATCAAAATAGTTGCTGATTACTTTTCTGTCAATCATTAATTGACTAATCGTTTAAGACATAGTCCTACTGTTGATAGTTGCATTAAATAATCTGCTTTTATAAGATCTTCATAAATGCAACATGTTATACGTGTTATAAATGCGACAATCTCAAATTACAGGCAGGTATTCAAATGTAGCCTAATGGTTGGCCGTTCTTGTTACAATCCTGATCAGGTACAACAGGCTGTGTGTATGTGAGATGAAAAGAAAAGACTCAAGTAAAGCACAGTACTTGAGTAAAATATACCCACCACCACTGCGTGAAGGTGACGTGAGAAAAGATATCTTAACGTAATGTAACTTTATGATTTCACGCGCTTCATTTAGGCTACCGTAACTATCAGAATACGGGTACAGTCGCAGGGCCTGACCGCGGAAATACGTACGTTTCTTCAAACCATTCATCTTGAAATAAAACAAGACGTCAGACAGCATGACTATTGCAACATCATATTGTTTTATTGTCTCTGAGCCAGGTGTCACGCCGGCTGAGAGAGAATAAGAGGAACTTAACGGTTTAAGCGATTTTAGTTGGTTGGTAAGATAATGGATGGATGGATTTTTAAACGCGGACGGATATAAAGTCTTTGGCCAATGACACGTAGGTAAATGCGCTTGGGGTGGTTGAAAGTGTGTATCGTAGGTTGCTGTAGCTATATAAACTTATGTTCTTAGAATAAGAGGTTAAATTAACTAATAGGCTGAAGATCTAACTATGATATAATAGGCCTACATGTAACGCGAAATGTCAGCGGGGCAATAGGCTACTGGCAGCTAAAAGCCATTTAGAAAAGAAAAGCTTAAAGGCCATTAGCACATTTGGTGAAAAGGTTCAGGTTTATGGTCCGTCATGTTGAAAAAAGATACATACGCGCTACTAGGCTACTGCTATTTTAAGGTTTTATGAAACAAGAGCAATTTGTTGCAGTGTTTCTGAGACCATGGACTGAATTAGGCTATAACAATACTATCATTTTAGACTACTATTTGTGTTGTTGCCACTGGTTCTGCTTTGTTATTACCATTGTAGGAATTGTCTGTTTACGGTGATGAGGGATGAAATCACCGTTTTCAGTGCAAGACTGAAACTTTACTTCTCTTTCTTTTTGCCTGAATGCAAACAATGCAGGAGTCTTACTCATCAGTCTTGGCACAGCCCTGGTTTCAAGGATGTGAGAGTCATTATAATAACCCTCCTTCCACCACAGCTCAGCGAGGAAACTCTCTGAAGAAGCACAAAGGGACTTGAAGACTAAAAACACTGTAAGTTCAATGTCTGACATGAGCTTGTGTTACTGACTGTGCTGTTAGACCAAAGATGAGTATTTGTGGGATGGAGGAGGAGGGCAGAGCGGAGTCTCCAGTATCCAGCTGTCTGTCTCTGAAGAGTGACCAGTCCAGAGAGATTCCTCTTGCCTTCAGCAATGAACCCGGACAATTCAACACAAAGTAAGAGTTCTCTGGCTGTGGGGGCAATAGTTGCTCTGTCAGAACATCTTGATATTAAAGTGTGCAGATATTAGTGGCTCTCAAACATTTTCTGCCCCCAAAATTCTCTGTAGAAGCACAAAGAGGGACTTCCAGACTAAAATCACTTTGACATTCAATTATTTTACAATTTTTGGTCTTATCTAGACTAACCATAACCGTTTCCCTGTTTATGTACCATATGAGCCACCAACTTAACCTTTGCTAACCACAAATATAAGACCAAAACAGAGTTCACAGCATTATTATAAAGGCAAGTAAAAACAGTTTAAAGAAATAAGTCTGCTCTAATTAAAATGCAAATGTGTGAAGCAAGGTAGTCCAAAATTGGGCCAACTGGATAATCATTTACAGAAGCATCCTATGGTGCGCGACACTGCTTTCAATATCTGATGTGAGCACATGTCACTGATTGTCTTGTTAGAACAAAGATGAGTGTTTGTGAGATGGATGAGGAGGGCAGAGCGGAGTCTCCAGTTTCCAGCTGTCTGTCTCTGAAGAGTGACCAGTCCAGAGAGATTCCTCTTGCCTTCAGCAATGAACCCGGACCATTCAACACAAAGTAATAGTCCTCTTTAGTTTCTTAGCCTTGTGTAATAAATCAAGTGATTGGCTGTGTTAGATGGGTGGCAATAGTTCTATCAGAACATCTTGATATTAGAGGGTACAGATATTAGTGGCTCTCAAACTTTTCTGTCATGCCCCCCTTTGGAAGAAAGAAATGTTTACAACAGAAAACAGACTTGTAATCACATAATATGACCATAAACACATTGGAGTTTCCAGATCAGACTGTTCATTATGCAGCTAAATTGTGGCAGTTGAGTATTGAGATGAGATGAGATTGAGATGTGAGCTTCTGTCACTGATTGTCTTGTTAGACCAAAGATGAGTGTTTGTGGGAAGGACGAGGAGGGCAGAGTGGAGTCTCCAGTATCCAGCTGTCTGTCTCAAAAGAGTGACCAGTCCAGAGAGATTCCTCTTGCCTTCAGCAATGAACTGGGACCATACAACACAAAGTAAGAGTTTTCTTTATTCTTTATTCTCTTAGCCTTGTGGAATAAACCAAGCAACATATTCCTTTCACCTCTACATGGATGTTGTAGTGTAAATGAAAAATAAAAAGTGAAAGGAAGACAATGGAAAGAAGTTTTTTTATGTCCAGCCATCACATTTACAACAGAAAACCGACTTCTATTCACATAGTATGACCATAAACATCTTTCCAGATTTCCAGATCAAACTCGTCATCTGCAGCTTATGACGACTTCATGCTTTTGTAGCAAATTAATCTGCACCTTCAGACAAAAAAATCTGCTTATAATAATGACTCATCATTTTCTGTCTTTACGGAATTTCAGTCAGGGCACTCACGTTAAGCTTTTTTTTTTTCAGCAATATGCACTTGAGAGAGTTTATTTATAAGGACAGCCTATTGTGACAGATAAGTTGTGGACAACATTGGAGAGTGTATGGAAGATGTGACTATAAATTACTTCTATGCATGGCTAGACTATAACATTTCACCCCAAAATACCCATACCTTTTTTAAAAAAAAAGAGAGGATTGGATGATTTTCACCTGGATAATAAATCCACATGCATCCACATTAGTATTTCACCAAGTTAAAAGTTTCAAGGTAAGTTTAAAAAAAAAGACCTATTTTTTCACTTACAACTTATAGCATTTAACCATGCAGTTCTTCCTCTATATGCTGAGGTTTTCAGATATCCACCTCATTCTGCGAGTACTCCAATAAAATGAAGGTAAATGGAATACAATTTTAGTCAAAGCATAAAAAAAATTACATTTGAAAAATTCAAAAGCAATGTTTCTTTGCAGAAAAAGAAATGTTACTCAGATGCTGTCTTTATTTGAACTATTCCTTCGATAGAAAGATTGATAAAAGCCTTCTCACACAACAATGACTGTGACAATTGTCTTTGTCACATATTAGTTGTATGTTGAATGTTTTCATGTATTCTGCGAATAACCGAATCAGTTTGTTCTTGTTTTCCTGTCCTTTAAAATATGTATGTTCTTGTCAATAACAAGTGGCGAACACACTTGCCCAGATATTCTACTGTAATTCTTTTAATTATCTTGATAGTTACCAAAATAGACACACACTTTTTTACAATGAAAAACATTCTTCAGAATGATATCTAGGACTGCAATGTCTTCTGTGTTGTCACTTGTTATGGCTTCTCTGACAAAAATTCTTTACACGTTTTCTCTATTTTTAAGTTGATGTCAGAATGGACCTTTGTCGGCCATGAACCACTGACTAAAAACTATTGTGTCATCTGTGTACAGGCATTAAAAGACATACCGTAACACACAACAGCATGGTTTGAATTGCTTTGGAGAGACACACCCCGAAAGCTGTTTTAGTTAGTTGTGAAGCAAAGGGTAGGGCAAACTTGCTCTATTTCCATTTTGAACAGAGCGTAACCAGGCTGCTTTGACATTATTAAATCTTAATATGTCTTAAGTTTTTATATCCAGATGTGGGTAATTTAGATAAAATTGCTTAAATGGGAAACGTGTTTTTTTTTAAAAATGGATCTGTATGTATCCATACTATAGTCAGTGTTACCTGCAGTAGATTGCTGTCAGCGTGTTTCCGCAGCTTGGATAAGCAGAGAGTTGTACCAGCCTGTAAGCTAAGCAATGTACTGCTGTGAGCAGGGTCAGCAGCAAAATGTCTTGCACTGTACTGCACTGTATAATGCCGCCAGAGATTAGAATCAGAATCAGAAATACTTTATTGATCCTCGAGGGGAAATTCTTTTGTCACAGTTGCACTTGTCAAAGGTAGATAGATAAAGAGTATATAAATATAATAGTATAAATATAAAAAAAAAAGACAAATATAAAGGTGTGTGGGTATGTATAATATTTCCATTATTAAGAATTATTATGGTGAAACAAAAATGACAAGTGAATAAATAGCAGAGAATATTGCACATTAATTATTAAACAGGTAATATTGGACAGAAAATAGGTAATGAGGTCTAGTTTAATAACTAAGTGTCAGACACTTAAAGGGAGGAGTTATAAAGTTTGAGTCTTGCAATGAAAGTGCTCCTGTGTTTGAGCATCAAGTCATGGAGTGGGTGGGAGACATTGTCCAAGATGACATGTAGTTTGGACAGCATCCTCCTCTCTGACACCAACGACAGAGAGTCCAGCTCCACCTCCACAACGTCACTGGCCTTGCGGATCAGTTTGTTGAGTCTGTTAGCGTCTGCTATCCTCAACCTGCTGCCCCAGCATGCAGCAGCAAACAAGATAGCACTGGCCACTACAGACTCATAAAACATCCTCAGCATCGTCCTGCAGATGTTGAAGGACCTCAGCCTCCTCAGAAAATAGAGACAGCTTTGGCCCTTCCTGTAGAGGGCTTGAGTGTTCTTGGCCGATTAGCTGTTTGGGTCAGACTTTCAGTGGTTTATGGAATAGACAACAAATGCAAGAATATAAAAATTAGTAACTATGATTTGTGATGGATGAAATATTCAGATCCTTTAAGTAACTATACCTCTGTGTAAAAAAATCCTTGTTACAAGTACAAATACGGCAATGAAAATGGTATCAGTAAAAGTACCTAAGTAAAATCATCAAAATGTTCTTAAAGTATTAAAAGGAAAAGTACTCAAAGAAGAAAGTAAAGTATGCCCAGTGACTGTATATTATATCATTATATTATTGTTACTCATGCATTAATGTAAAAACAGGATTTTACTGTTTTAGTTGGTTGAGGTTGAACTATTTTGTATCACACTGCAATTAATGACTTTTCATTATGGATTAATCCGCTGATAATTTTCTCCATTTATAGATTGTAAAAATTCTGAAAATAGTGAGAAAAGTAGTCACAATTACCCAGAGCCCAAAGTGACACCTTCACAATGCTTGTTTTGTTGATCTAAACCTAAAAACAATAAAAAGAAATTACAATATTCAAAAGGAAAAGCAGTACATTTTCACATTTCCATGAAATATTTTTACATGAAAAATGACTTAAATTATAAAACTTAAATAGTTGTCAATTAAATTTCTGTCAGTTAACTTTTGTACCAGCTGTATATACAGCTGTACATATTTTTTAACTCTTTATATGTATTGTGTGTAAAAATATTAATTTGTAAATTAACTAGTAACTAAAGCTGTCAGATAAATGTACTGAAGTTAAAAGTAAAAATTTTCCCTCTGAGATGTAGTGGAGAAGAAGTACCTCATACAGTCCCCACTTCAAAAAACCTGAACTGTCCCTTTAAGTTTGAAGCAGTATTTGCATTAACAATTTTGACAGCTACTGCACCACTTTCCCAGTATGGGTCAGACATAAAAGAAAAGGCGTATGATTCAGATTCTCCTGTTAGCCTTAGGTTATATCAGGACTAGTTTAGGAACCTAACCCATCCTAAACCCTTCACAGGTTTAATTGACTTAAAGATATTACTTTAATTGATCCACTGCATCTTATTTGTATTTTCAGACATAGCTGATACTATGTGCAATCCATGATGGTTGACATAAAGTGTTGATTATTTACTGTGACTGTTACTGTGACTGTGACTAGTGAGTTACTAACAAAATAAACATTACATGTTATGTCTGCATTGTGCTATTTGCCAAAAACATTTTTGTTAACAGTAAATGTTTTGAGTTAAAAAGAGAATACCTTCATCTTCACAGACAGAGGAAAAGGACTAGTGGTGCCATCAAGGACCAGCTGTCATGCTGTTCTTTATGCCAGGTGGTCCTGAAAGATCCAGGGTCTACCAGCTGTGGACACGTCTTCTGCAGGCCATGCATTGCCTCAAACTGGGAAGAATGTAAATCAGCAGATTTTTCATGTCCCCAGTGTGGAAAAAGATCCAGAAAAAGTCCTGAATTGCAGACACCCAGTCAAAACAGCACTGAACCAAGTAAGTATCTACTCTTTCTAATACAAAACCAGAATATTTTCGCAGAGAAGTTTACCATAGACTTGCCATGGTTGATACAGTTACCCTCACCCTTCTGTTTTTGTTATTTATTCTTTTTCTGCTTATCAAGCAGTTACCGGCAGTCTGCAGGAGGTTTTAGACAATCATAAGAACAGCCTTAGACGAAGATGTGAATTTGCAATAGAAGGAACTGCTGAAGCAGAACATCGAACCCGCCTGAATGGGATCTACACTGAGCTCTACATCACTGAAGGACAATGCGAAGGAGTTAATGCACAACATGAAGTGTGGCAGCTTGAGACAATATCGAAAATGGAGACCCTGCATGACACTCCAATCAGCTGCTGTGACATCTTTAAGGTCTTACCTGGCCAAAAGAGATTCATCAGAGTAGTGCTAACGAATGGCATTGCAGGCATCGGAAAAACCTTCTCAGTGCAGAAATTTACTCTTGACTGGGCAGAGGGCCTGGAAAATCAAGACATTAGCCTTGTGATTCTGCTTTCGTTCCGGGAGCTGAACTTGATCAAAGAGGAGCAGTACAGTTTTCTCAGGTTGCTTCATGATTTCAATCCAACACTACGCACGGTGACGGCCGAAAGGCTTGCTCTCTGTAAAGTTTTGTTAATCTTTGATGGCCTGGATGAAAGCAGACTTTCGTTGGATTTCCAGAACAATGAGGTTGTTTCCGACGTCACACAGAGATCATCAGTCAACTTATTGTTGACAAACCTCATCCAGGGGAATCTGCTTCCCTCAGCTCTTCTTTGGATAACTTCAAGACCTGCAGCCGCCAATCAGATCCCTCCTTCGTATGTCGATATGTTTACAGAAGTACGAGGATTCACTGATACTCAGAAGGAGGAGTACTTCAGGAGGAGATTCAATGATGAGTCCCTGTCCAGCAAAATCATCTCACACATCAAGGCATCCAGGAGTCTCTACATTATGTGTCACATCCCAGTTTTCTGTTGGATCACTGCTACAGTTCTGGAGCACATGCTGACTGTAGACCAAAAAGAGCTTCCCAAGACTCTGACTGAGATGTACTCACACTTTCTTCTTGTTCAGTACAAGAGGAAGACACAGAAGTATGATAAGGGACATGATATAATCCCACAGGAGCTGATGCAGGCTGACAGGGATGTCCTTCTGAAGATGGGGAGACTTGCATTTGAACATCTGGAAAAAGGGAACATCATGTTCTACCAAGAGGACTTGGAGCAATGCGGTCTTGATGTCAGAGAAGCCTTAGTTTTCTCAGGACTGTGCACAGAGATCTTCAAAAGAGAGCTTGTACTCTTTCAGAAAATGATTTACTGCTTTGTTCATTTAAGTATTCAGGAGTTTCTCGCTGCTGTCTTCATGGTCCATTGTTACCTGAGCAAGAACATAGAAGTACTGGCAACTTTCTTAGGAGAAAACTGGGATGCAAATCGCAGTGACCATGGTTTAGATAACTTCCTCAGTCGAGTTGTGGACAAATCCCTAAACAGTGAAAATGGCCACTTGGACCTCTTTGTTCGTTTCCTTCATGGTCTGTTATTGGAGTCCAACCATCGTCTCTTAGGTCGTCTGCTTGGCTGGACAGCAAGCAGTTCAGAAAGCATCCAAAGAGCAATAAACAACCTGAAGAAAATGAATGCTTATGACATCTCACCTGACAGAAGCATAAACGTCTTCCACTGTTTGATGGAGATGAATGACCACTCAGTGCATCAGGAGATCCAAGAGTACCTGCAGTCAGACAACAGATCGGTGAAGAAACTCACCAAGACCCAGTGCTCAGCTCTTGCCTACATGCTGCAGATGTCTGAAGAGGTTCTAGAGGTGTTGGACCTGAAGAAGTACAATGCATCGGGTGACGGAAGACGGAGATTGCTCCCAGCCGTGAGGAACTGCAGAAATGCTCGGTTAGTACAGATGTGAAGTTACCTTTATGCCTATGCCTACTTTTGTTACAGTAAAGATGTTTAGTTTATCAGTGTGTAGCTATCTTGATACTAACAGCAAATCTTACTAATTACAAACATATTACTGCTTTACTTACTACTATTTCTATTACTTAGTGATCCTTTGGTTGATGTGTTTACAGACTCTCTGCCTGTGGGCTCTCTGAGGGGCATTGTGGAGTTCTTTCCTCAGCTCTGATGTCCAACCCCTCCCATCTGCTGGAGCTGGACCTGAGTGAAAATGACTATCTGCTGGACTCGGGCGTGAAGCTGCTCTCTGTTGGACTGGAGAGTCCAAACTGCAGACTGCAGATACTAAGGTCAGACAACTTTCAGAAAGCTACTTTTAACTCTTTACTTTTTCTCCTCCTCCTTCTGGGTACTCGTTTATTCTTATTACAGGGGACTGTAATTTTGTTGTAATTTCTGTACTGTAATTTTATATATACACTCACCGGCCTCTTTATTAGGTACACCTTGCTAGTACAGTGTTGGACCCCCTTTTGCCTTCAGAACTGCCTTAATTCTTCGTGGCATACATTCAACAAGGTGTTTGAAGCAATCCTCAGAGACTTTGGTCCATATTGACATGAAAGAATCGTAGAATTGTCGGCTTCACATCCATGATGTGAATCTCCTGTTCCACCACATCCCAAAGTTGCTCTATTGGATTTAGATCTGGTGACTGTGGAGACTATTGGAGTACAGTGAGCTCATTGTCATGTTCAAGAAACCAGTTTGAGATGATTTGAGCTTTGTAACATGGTGCATTATCTTGCTGGAATTAGCCATCAGAAGATCGGTACACTTTGGTCATAAAGGAATGGACATGGTCAGCAACAATACTCAGGTAGGCTGTCGTGTTTAAAAAATGCTCAGTTGGTACTAAGGGGCCCAAAGTGTACCAAGAAAATATCCCCCACACCATTACACCACCACCACCAGCATGAACCGTTGAAACAAGGCAGGATGGATCCATGCTTTCATGTTGTTTACGCCAAATTCTGACCCGACCATCTGAATGTCGCAGCTGAAACCGAGACTCATCAGACCAGGCAACGTTTTTACAATCTTCTATTGTCCAATTTTGAGTCTGTGTGAATTGTAGCCTCAGTTTCCTGTTCTTAGCTGACAGGAGTGGCACCCAGTGTGGTCTTCTGCTGCTGTAGCCCATCTGCTTCAAGGTTCGACATGTGATTTCATTGATGGTATTCTGCATACCTTGGTTGAAACGAATTTGAGTTACTGCTGCTTTTCTGTCTCGAACTAGTCTACCCATTCTCCTCTGACCTCTGACATCAACAATTTTTGTCCACAAATCTGCCTCTCACTGGATATTTTCTCTTTTTCCGACCATTCTCTGTAAACCCTACAGATGGTTGTGTGTAAAAATCCCAGTAGATCAGCAGTTTCTGAAATACTCAGACCAGCCCGTCTGTCACCAATAACCATGCCACGTTCAAAGTCACTTAAATTCCCTTTCCTCCCCATTCTGATGCTCGGTTTGAACTTGCTCGGTTGTCTTGACCATGTCTACATGCCTAAATGCATTGAGGTGCTGCCATGTGATTGGCTGATTAGCTAATTTTGTTGTATCTAATGAAGTGGCTGGTGAGTCTTTATCAGGCTGATATTAATTTGATCCACATAAATAATTATGACAAACTGATCAGCCCCTCGATCAACACTTAACATTACTTCCATCTGGTTGGAGATTGCTTCAGGAGGAATTTTGTTCCTTCTGCCATAGCAGCACTGAACAAACTGTCTGTCTGACACTCAGGGTGTCTGCGGGGTCTTGAAAGGTAATAAATCAATTTTGCAAAAATTAAGGCCATTAAAAAGTATTAAAAAGTCTGAATCGCCATTTAACAAGTTATTAAATGTTGAAGATATTTTTTTCACAATGTGTTTGTCCAAAAGTTTGTTTGATCAAGTGTAGGTGAATGTATTTATTTATAATGCGTAGCCAAAAATACTAGACAGGCAGATAGCGACTGTGTGATTCGTTTCTGTAACGTTAGTCGCAGGGATGTACCGAGCGCCTGTTTCACTCTTAAACGCTCCAAAAAATTGATCCGTGCGAACCGGACAATGATTTACGAGTACAACCAACCGTAATCTCCCACCCCACCGGACCCGCAATGCTAATCGTCCAAAACATAGTCATAGTGGCGATCAGGATTAACAGGATTAATATATTATTATATATAATATAATTAATATTACACTAGTGGTAAGTTATATATTATATGAAATTATATTGAACATAATGAATACATTAATATCAAACTTACAGGTTACTATTAAGTTAACAATATACTTTTAACTTAATGTTATAATATTATACTAATACAGTCATTTAGACTAGTTCATGTATATGTACTACTCCAGGTTGTGCCTGTGCTACACTACCTACACTACTTACGTTATTCATCACTCAGTTTATTCTCTTCATCTTTGTTCCCTCCTGCCCTATTTGAATTTTGTTGTATTGATCAAGTGGTTGATGCAGGCAATCTCACATTATCTAGTTTAAACCAACTAAAACACAAAATCACACTGTTTCACAAGATTTGCTGTAATGTTGCGTACATAAACGTCATAGCTTATGTAAAATAGTTGCTTTTTGCAGGAAATGTGACCAGTCCTTCACATAGAAAACAATAGGCCTATACAAGCTGTTATAGGCAACTGAGAAAGTTACCGAATGCCTCATTTTTTAGGTGGCGGTACACCTGATGACATATAGGCAATAAATATGTTATAAATATACTTAAATTCATTTTAAAACCTTAAAAATATCCCTTTTAAAGGTGTGTGGCTGATTTTATCAGTTACAGCTCAAAGTGGCGCGGCAGTCTTGAAATATGTTGAAAAAGTCTTGAAAAGGTCTTAAAAAGATATTGAATTTTACTTCAGGATTCCTGTATATACCCTGGACACTGTTGTGAGCTGGAATATATGAATGTGAACATGACGATTTTATGTATTTTCTATAGCTATATGTTTATGTGTCGTACTGGCTGTAAAAACAAATCACCTTCTGGGACAATACAATCTAAATCTAATTTAAATATCCTTTATCATATTTCTCAGATTGAAGAGCTGCAGTTTGTCAGAAAGTTGTTGTGATTCTCTGGCCTCAGCGCTGAAGTGCACCTCTTCCCATCTGAGAGAGCTGGACCTATGTAACAACAACTATCTGAAGGATTCAGGGGTGAAGCTGCTGTCAACTGGACTGAAGAGCCCAAACTGTAGACTGGAGACTCTGAGGTCAGATAGCTTTTTTTATAAACTTTGGTTAGAGATTAATTTTGATTATTATGGTTACATTTAGGGGGTAGCACAAAATCATGGGCCTTATAGATTCACTATTGGCACCTTCTCCACTTCTATTCCAAGATTCCTCTGTGGTGCTGGTCCATACTGATAACCTTCACATTGGCATAACACCTTCATGCTATATATTTGCAAGCTACAAATACTACAAACAGAGGCATATAATATTTTTAACCGGGCACCCTGTTGGGTTTAGGTGTTTGGAGTTGAGCTTACAAGTTTATACAATTCAAGATTTAAAACATCCACAGCTCAAAGTAGATACTGAAACAGTCAGTGGTTACTATAGTAACTATAGTTTTTATACTTTTTTTAAAATCTAGATTAAGTTGCTGCAGGTTGTCAGAGAGCTGCTGTGCACACCTGGCCTCAGCGATGAAGTCCAACCCCTCCCATATGAGAGAGCTAGACCTGAGTAAAAACAAACTGAAGGATGTAGGAGTAAATCTGCTATCTGCTGCACTAGAGAGTCCCCAATGTAGACTGAAGTACCTGAGGTGAGTTCACTCCAGTAGATCTTATATCTTTAATGACACAATATTTGTCCGTTCAGAAGATGATGACTTAAAGATGATGTTATGAAGTTCTGTTTCTCATAGAATATGTCTAACATGCGATCGAGCACTGGTTAAGTTTGGTGTTCCTGACATGTTCATGCAAAATTTAGTACACTGCTCCACGGTAGTGAGTTGGCAAGTGTATAGAGCCTGTTAGAGAGGACTCTGTCTATGCTTTTTATTTAGTAGAGCATATCAGATTTGCTATTAACCCTACAATTACAGGCTTGATAGATGTGGGCTTACGGAGAACTGCTGTACTTCTTTGGCCTCAATTCTCTCATCCAACCCCTCCAGCCTGAGAGAGTTGGAACTGAGTAATAATGATCTACAGGATTCAGGAGTTAAGCTGCTGTGTGTAGGATTGGAGAGTCCACATTGTGTACTGGAAGCTTTGAGGTCAGTCAGCATGTTTTGTTTTTTACAATAATATTAAATAAATATGACACTGGCAATAATTTGGTATTTACTAACAATAATAGTATTCTGATTGCCATTACATGTTCTTTATTTAATATTAAAGCATATTGAATATCATTGTTGAGCTAGATATTTAAATCCATAAAATATCAAAGGATGGGCAGCATTTTCAGCTTCACTTTCAAGTCAATACTTCTTCAACAAAATGCTGTCATTATTATAAACCTCTTGGACTCTTGATCCCAAGTGTTCCTAAATTAACAATATCTACAGCTGTTTCTAGTAGTCTGTATCCCATTTGTACAGGAAACACAATTTAGAATTGTATTTTTTTCCTTTACCATATCTGTATACATGATGCACTGTGTAAGTTAGAGAAAGCATAAACTAACTTTTTAAAAAGGCCATAGTTTATTCCAACTTTTCTCATTAAGTTCAGATGCCAGAATGGTAGGGCTGTTTCTATCTGATGTAAATAAAATCAAGAGGGACCTCAGTGCCCCACACAACAACAAATCCACAGGGCTTAGGCTACTATGGATAGCGTGTTTCATCACTATCTTGAATACGTACAAAGAAGTAGTTGTAGTAGAAGTAGTAGTAGTAGTCATCTGGCGTGTTAGAAGTAAGAAGAGAAAGAGAAATTTGGACAAATAGATGACCACACTCAGTATTTAGCACAAAAGCAGAGAGAGTGTGTCAGCCACCGTAGCTTCAATTCTATGCTTGCAAAGGGAGGGGTGAGCGGTGCATTCATGTGGTATCGGAATAATCCAAATTTTTTTTCTTCTTGAATCTTTATTGCAAAAAGAGAAAGTGTACATGGGACATAAAGAAGTATACAGAGCAGTATACAAATATATAAGAAACACAAATAATAACTTTGCCAGGAGTAGTCCATATCATGTGAAGATATTAAAAGAAGACCATTCAGTTTTCACAACCTTTTATTGTTGGATTTAGAAATTAAACTGTAAAACTTCATAGAGAAAAGGTACAAAGTTAAGTGTTTTTACTGCTGAATTTACTATTGCTATTAGAATTAATACATTTTATTATAAAATACTTGTTTCGTCTGAGGAGCAGGTGAATGCACAGAGCCATTTGTTGCAATTCGCAACCCTCACCACTAGATGCCACTAAAACGTACACACTGAACCTTTTAAGTATGATCATTCTACATCATACTTTAAACTAGTAACTATATCTGTCAAATAAATGTGGTAGAGTAAAAAGTACAATATTTCTACTGATAAATAGTGAAGTATAAAGTAGCATGAAATGGAAATTTTTCTGTCTGTGACAATTTGGGTTTAAGTTCAGAATTCACAATTTTAGTTTCCTGTACCTAAAGTTCGTAAGCTTATATTGAGTGAAATATTTATGTATGCTTTGTTCTTTTATTTAGATTGAGGGGCTGCTGGTTGTCAGAGAGTTGCTGTGCTTCTCTGGCTTCAGCTTTAATGTCCAACCCCTCCAGTCTGAGGGAGCTTGACCTAAGTGAAAATGATCTACAGGATTCAGGAGTGAAGCTGCTGTGTGCTGGATTGGAGAGTCCACATTGTAGACTAGAGACTCTGAGGTAAGGAATCCCTTTTTTCCTCTATTCAACATAAGAAATAATTTGTTAAAGAGGTGGTGTTATGCTTTTTTTTATATCTCTTTTTTGTGCATGTAACAGGTTTGCAAAGTGAAAAAGCCCAAAGTCCAGCCCAAAGGGAGTTCCCATCTCCCACAGAAAGCGCTGCTCTGAACTGCTTGAAAACAGCTCGTTGTAGTCCAGCCCTTCACTTCCTTTAATTGTGACATCACAATGTATATATATAAATAGTCTGAGCGGAGGCCCTTTGGCTCGACTCGCCTTTGTTTGGTTTTCCATTGTAGAAATGTTGTACCTGTACCTGCTTCCAGGTACTTTTTTTCGTATCACCTCACCTCCCTCGAGGTTCGTGAAAACACGACAGACTGCTGATTGGTCAGAGAAAATTGTCAGTATTCACTGCATCATCATTGCATGCACCAGACAGAGGCAGCAACAGAAGGTTTTATATTTTACAGTTTCCGTATGTAATTTCATCACTAAATCCACTTCTGAGAAGTTTTGAGGTGAGAAATCAGCTGTGTAGAATATTGACAGTTTTACGAGAAGTGATGGCGGAACAAAAATGTGCTTGAATATTTTGGGAGTTGAGGAGCTCTGCAAGTGGCTGCGGGGGATGGCTGTGCCAACCTGCGGGAGGAGCGTGTGAGGCCGGCCAGCCGCCCGCTCACACAGCCTTCTGCTCCCGCCGTCTTTACATTCTGAGGAATGAGAAACGTTTTAACCGTAGACTGTATATATTTTAAAAGCTGTATGGATCGCTGGTCTGTATGTCGCATTGAACATTACGTCACAGCAGTTGTGTGTTGTGTTGCTATGACGACAAGCTACGTTCTATCTCTGGGTACTGTCTGCAATGGAAAACGGAGCAGGGCCGAGTAGAGTCGAGTCTATGGATTTGCGCTATGGCAGCATTTTTCGGCAAGGCAGCATAGATCGTCAGAACACCGGCAACAGTTCAACGTTTAGTCCTAATGGTAAGATGTGGAACAATGATGTGTGGTTTTGGACTTGATTTGACTTTGATTTGGATCACACTACCTTGTTTCTTACGATCCGCCCTTCTCTGCTTCTGATTGGCTAGTAGTCCTTACCTGGGAACTGAGCATGTGCAACTCCCAACAAAGATTTTGTACAAGTAAGATTCATCACTCTGTAGCTCAAGAGCGGAGCGTACAACACATAGGGTGAAAAGAGGAGCTGCAGCAATGGGCAGTATGAGGAAAAATATGGCATATATGTTTTTTGTTTTTATTAAACCATTTAAACCTGTTCTGGTACAACCCCTAATTAAGATTTTGAACCTGATAATGAGCATAATACCACCTCTTTCAATAATGTTAAAACATTTATTGGAGAACAAGAAGGATCTACTGATGTGGTGGACTTTGAAGTTAAAAATGTAATTGATGCTGGTGCTCCTCACTGTATCGCCAATATTTTCACGTGATTTGGCACCTGAGCTGCTCGTCTGTGTTAAATAAAGACTCACGGACTTCTCTGTTGTCTTTCATGAATGTATTTATCAATCTGGGGATAATGAACCCCAAACAGTATGGAAATCAAATGACTTTCGCAGAAACTCGACACTTTTGGATGATATTAAATATTGACCAATATTTCTCTACATAGTACTAAAATGTCAGAAAAATGTGAAAGTAACCCAATAAAAAATTTCTAATCTCTGCAGGTTGAAACGCTGTCGGCTCACAGATGAAGACTGTGCTTTTCTGGCATCAGCTTTAAGGTCCAGGCAATCCTGTCTGCGAGAGCTGGATCTGAGTCAAAACAGCCTGCAAGAATCCAGAGTGAAGCTGCTGTCTGACGTCCTGGAGAATCCACATTGTAGACTGGAGACTATCAGGTCAGTAGCGGGTTTGGGTTAGTCTATACTAGTTTCAGCATTCTTTGCAAAACAGAGTTCAAACCAAGCATTGACTTTTCAACGCTCCAACTTTATAAATGGCTGCTTTCCCCTGTGCACATCTGAGAAAAGAATGGTGACTTTAGGATTGCATAAAATGCAGAGAAAGAAACAGCACTCAATCAAGCCAGACGCCTAATGTGATGATGTGTTTGATCTAACCTAGATCATTTTTGTTGATCACTACAGAATGGAAGAAATGGAGTAAATCCAGAGTGCATCCATCTGACGAACATGCATCACTGGCCATGAGGTGTTGCTAACTCTTGGGCTTCCGTGATCAACATATCACTGTTCTAAATGTACAGTTGCTTGAAGTTTTGTTAATTTTAATTTTAAGAAAACAGATCAATTCAGATTGAGTCAAGTCAGGACAAAAGTGCAATACTGTTTTTATATTTGAATAAACCTACCATGCTGTCACAGTTGTTTGTTTTTCATAATTATTTAATTAATTTTAATTGGACATCTGTTTGAAATGGCTTGCACCATGTGACAAGATAATGGAAAGCAGTGCAGTAGTCTAAATCTTTTGCAATTTTCTTTATATAGCACAATCAAACTGTCCACTTAGGAAGCAACACTGATTGACAATCAATTTCACATGCTGTTGTGTAAATGAAATAGACAACAGGTGGAAATTATAGGCAATTAGCAAGACACCCCCATTAAAGGAGTGGTTCTGCAGGTGGTGACCACAGACCACTTCTCAGTTCCTATGCTTCCTGGCTGATGTTTTGGTCACTTGTGAATGCTGGCGGTGCTTTCACTCTAGTGGTAGCATGAGACGGAGTCAACAACCCACACAAGTGGCTCAGGTAGTGCAGCTCATCCAGGATGGCACATCAATGCGGGCTGTGGCAAGAAGGTTTGCTGTGTCTGTCAGCGTAGTGTCCAGAGCATGGAGGCGCTACCAAGAGACAGGCCAGTACATCAGGAGACGTGGAGGAGGCCATAGGAGGGCAACAACCCAGCAGCAGGACCGCTACCTCCGCCTTTGTGCAAGGAGGAGCAGGAGGAGCACTGCCAGAGCCCTGCAAAATGACCTCCAGCAGGCCACAAATGTGGATGTGTCTGCTCAAACGGTCAGAAATGGACTCCATGAGGGTGGTATGAGGGCCTGACGTCCACAGGTGGGGGTTGTGCTTACAGCCCGACACCGTGCAGGAGGTTTGGCATTTGCCAGAGAACACCAAGATTGGCAAATTCGCCACTGGCGCCCTGTGCTCTTCACAGATGAAAGCAGGTTCACACTGAGCACATGTGACAGACGTGACAGAGTCTGGAGACGCCGTGGAGAACGTTCTGCTGCCTGCAACATCCTCCAGCATGACCGGTTTGGTGGTGGGTCAGTAATGGTGTGGGGTGGCATTTCTTTGGGGGGCCGCACAGCCCTCCATGTGCTCGCCAGAGGTAGCCTGACTGCCATTAGGTACCGAGATGAGATCCTCAGACCCCTTGTGAGACCATATGCTGGTGCGGTTGGCCCTGGGTTCCTCCTAATGCAAGACAATGCTAGACCTCATGTGGCTGGAGTGTGTCAGCAGTTCCTGCAAGAGGAAGGCATTGATGCTATGGACTGGCCTGCCCGTTCCCCAGAACTGAATCCAATTGAGCACATCTGGGACATCATGTCTCACTCCATCCACCAACGCCACGTTGCACCACAGACTGTCCAGGAGTTGGCGGATGCTTTAGTCCAGGTCTGGGAGGAGATCCCTCAGGAGACCATCCGCCACCTCATCAGGAGCATGCCCAGGTGTTGTAGGGAGGTCATACAGGCACGTGGAGGCCACACACACTACTGAACCTCATTTTGACTTGTTTTAAGGACATTAAATCAAAGTTGGATCGGCCTGTAGTGTGGTTTTCCACTTTGATTTTGAGTGTGACTCCAAATCCAGACCTCCATGGGTTGATAAATTTGATTTCCATTGATAATTTTTGTGTGATTTTGTTGTCAGCACATTCAACTAAATAAAGGAAGTAAAGAAAGGAGTATTTAATGAGATTATTTGTTATTTTAGTGTTCCCTTTATTTTTTTGAGGTGTGTGTGTGTGTGTGTGTGTGTACACACACACACACACACACACACACACACACACACACACACACACACACAAATTAGCCATAAGCCTGTGAGAATAGGAAAGTTTTGAGTTTGCTTGCGAATGTGGACACAGTTGTGATAGACCTCAAATCAGCAGGCAGCTTGATCCAGAGAGCAGGACCACATTAACTGAAGGCAGCCTTACGGGACCTGGATCTAATTCTGGGTACATCTAGATCTCTGCCTGATGACTAAGAGGCCTGATGGGGTGATAATCAGAGACCCAAAAATATACTTAGGAGCCAAACCATTTAGTGCTTTATACATAATTAGCAGGATTTGATTTAAAGATTATTCTGTATTGTACCGGGAGCAAATGAAGTGATTATAGTGCTGCAGTAATATGTTGTAAGGTGGAGCCATGGTTTGGATAATCCTGCAAAAACAGCATTACAGTAGTGTAACCAGTCCTAAACCAGTTTTGGAGAGTCACGTTCTGCTTGCTGTAATAATTCAAACTGCCCATGAAAAGATCCACTTATAGTGCGATTTTAATTTAATTGATGGAGGAGAAATTCCTCATTTGTGTGCAAAATTATATTCCAAAATTTATCGGATGTTAACGACTTATGGTAAAGGTACCTGTGAGACTAGTGGGATTAGTGGACATAGATATTTGTGGGAAAATCAAAGCAACAAGTGTAAATTTGGATGTCAGCACACAAAAGCGCTATTAGGAGACAAGATCCAATCTCCCACTGGAAAACATTTCCTGGAACATCGACAGCTTCTATAATCTAAACTGAGTGCATGATGCACTCTGGTGTTCAAGATGTTGAATTACAACAGGACGCAACTGACAGAAAGAGTTTTATTTTCAAACCGTTTAACCCCTTTCAATAGAAATACCATCTACAATATATATCTCCTCAAAACCCTTACTAGGCTTCCCTTTATATTCTTTCAAAAATAGTATTCTTTTGTACACAATCAGTAAAACAAAACAACCATCTATGAGGCAAGATTGATGAGGCCGCATCACATTTTAGTATGAGGAAACATTTGAACGGTTATCCAAAATAACCTTTAAAATGTTGCACAGATCTGTAAGGCAAAAAAAGAAAAAAGAAAAAAAAAAAAAAGGTAAAGCTGAGCTGACCTTTAGAACAATAAATAAAGTACTATGTAACACACCCAAACACAAAACACTTCTGAAAAATAAATACATTCACAAAAGATCAAATCAAAATGTCTAAATAATTTCACAAGTAAAAGCAAATGTTTGTTCGCAGAGTAACTTTTGACTGCAGATTTGATATACTTTTAAAAGCTGATAAGAGAATACCCTGAAACACATCAGCTGTAAAAATGCACTGCCCTGAAATATATAGTGCACATGTTCAGAGTAAATCATTTCAATTGACCATGATTTATTGATCAGAATGCAAATACATGATAGTAAGCTATTGCATAGTAGTGCATGGTATAAAACAATAACTGAACTTAAAAATGTGACACTTGCAGCTCCAAATAGTGTGGGGAGTGTAAAATAAAACCTGATTAAAATGATCAAACTAAAACAAAAATGTGTGTAATACTTAAGAGGGATTTCAGCGACTCCAAACCCTGAAAATGCATCCATTAAAGAAATATTTTTGGCATTTGCTGTGTTTCAAATGAAATTAAGATTTTTAACCTTCACTGTGCTCGCCAACATACTCACCTCGTAGAAAAATATAGTTTTCACTCAATACTGTCTTATCTACTAAATGTGTAACAGAGGGGGTTATCTGCTCTCTTCCTCTCACTTAAAAAGAAAGTTTAGTTTTGGCCGTCTTTTGTCCATTTACACTTGCACAGTTCACTCCTCTGGAGCTGCCTCCTTTACCATTCTCGCCTTCGTTGTTGTTCGACCAGCTGGGTTTCAGAGGAGTCAGCTCAGGCGCTATTATGTCTCCATCCTGCGTGTGAATACAAACAACAGACATCTGAAATGGCAAGAGCAGTGTAGAGTGTTCACAAGTCATCATTACTGACGCACTAATGCCGAATCCTAACTCAGCAAGCGATCCTGGCACTCTGTAACATTCTTCCTTCCTAGCCTCATAATGTCATGCAATGCTCAATTCATGTTGACAATGATTTACTGTCTCCAGCTATGAGAGGATTGCAGCACCTCACTACATCCTTTTTTATTTTTTATAAAACTCAAAGATTCAATTATTGGTTGTGTAGACCAGTTGTCATTTGTGCTATTTGGGCAGCAGTGGTTTGCATTAGACTGATTCAGAGATGGGAATGTAAAACTGAAGTATTAACATCTCAGTCTGCCACTTCCTTCCTTCAACTCACACAGCGTTATAAAACTATTTTTGCGTCTCCTTTGTCATTTGTTACAAAATACTTTTTAGTGACAAATTTGTACACTATATAGCATAGTATACAAATAGTTTTTTTTACATTTTGTATATCTTTAAGGCCTAACAAAACATGCTGAATTGCTTTGCTTAAATCAGCTTAGAACTGTTACTGTCTTCTACAATCTGCAGAAATGTGTATCATATCACCACTGTGGCCTGCATGTGCATCTGGCAGGACACTATACAAACAGTACAGGGACTTGCTCATTACACTGCTACACTGTGCTAATTTTGCTCTACATTTACTATTCTATTTGTTTGTGCTTTGTACAAAGTCTCTCCAATTTGGAGTAGACAAATCCTTACCCCATGATCAACAAACAATTTTGTCACTGCATATAATTCTAAGTCTTTGCAGTTTTAGCAGAAATATTACCTGAGGCTTTGAGAAGTTCATGTCCATGCACCACTGGACAAAGTGTTTCTTGGCTGCCTCCAGACTTCTGTCATCGGTCTTCTTGCAGTAGACCCTGATCAGCTGCTCAGCAAACTGCTCCGGAAGAAGTTTAGACACCTGACAAGAATGACAGCAGCAGCAGAGTATATTTTGAGGCACACATTTGAGACAGAGGGAGCATTACTATGCATTAAGAAAGAAATGCGTGTAAGGAAAACAAAAAATCCCCCAGCAATTCCAACATGTGATCTTTCTTCAGTTCTGACCTGGTTCTTACGAATCTGGATGGCCTTGGCGAGGTCATTCTTGCAATAGAAATGCACATTGTTGATGGGGTTCTTGTCTTTCATCCCATAGTCCATAGAAATTATCTAAAAGATAAGATTTTAGATCATCAAGTCTATAAAGCTGCACAGGGGGAGGCATCAGCTTACAATGGAGCTAAAATGCAAAATAAAAACACAGAAATGAACATTTGAGTTATGAGAGAACTGACTATTTCAATTTAAAGTAATTAAATTAAAAACTCACACTAACTACAAAGTCCTCTGGCTGCA